GGGGGGGGGGGGAGTTGTTTAACTCGGGGGGGAGTTGTTTAACTCTTTCTGTGACCATGGCATTTAAAGGGGGTGGGGGTTGTGTGGTCAGCTCATAGGCGTAACTGCCTTTTAAGATGTCGGGCGGCAGGTATGTTTTGTAGTTGTCAGTACCTTATCTTCTTCTTCTTGAAGTTGCATATCACATTGGTAAAATAATAGAATCAAATTATTTTTTTTTATCAAATTAATTATTTGATGTTTACGTTGTAATATGATCATTCATTTATTTGATAAAATTAAAAAATCTGTTCACTAAATTTTGCAAGAAGAGTGTGAGAGGATTTATATAAAACTCATTTTACCTCGCATAAATTTATAGGCACACATTATGTAAAAAATCTTAGCTAAGTACTTTCCCCAGTTTAGAGTTGTGGAACTTAACAGTGGGAACTGTTTGAATGACGTTGGCGTTTTTTGGGTGTTAAGTCAAATTGTCTATGTCATAAATTAATCCGCTTTAGTTGTATTACAAATGAATTTTTTTTTTAAATCGTATCGTGGGTGATCAGCTGACCATGGAACTTAATTAAATTAGAGGCAAAAAATCTTTTAAAAAAAATTATTACTAAATTCTTACGAAATTGAAACCGAAAAGCAAATTAATTTCTGGATATTAGCTAAGTTCGCGAATATAATCTTTGCATCTATTGAAAAGTAAAAACCTATTTTATTTTTTTTCTCTAAAGGCCTATAATTGTTTACTTTTTTTACGTGTAATTAACGTTATTACATCTTCCTCATATTATTGCCAGTACGTGCTCACTATCCAGCCAAGGCCTCAAATTATTTTTATATCAATCATTCCTTAATGACTGACAGCTCCAATTATAAGTCAATCAACATGTAATTAAACCAATGAACCATGTCCTTAATCAATCACCTCACGACTGACTGATCGGCCCCTCCCTCATTAAAATACTTCCTAATTAGCAGTTGCAAGACTATCATTTAAACACTTAAACTCTAGTGTATCAAACAATGTCAGGGTCCAGCTCATTAAAGTTGCATTTAATGATTGTATGACGTCAACTCAAAACAGACATTCATGTTTGTAAATAATAATACTAAAATAATTAGTTTGTTTGTTTTTTTTTGTTTTTTTTTTAGATCTAGTGTAATTAAATTTTTTAATTTTTTTTTCTTTATTATTTTTTTGTTGCTACGGTTGTTAGATAGATTTAGTGTTATATTAAAGCAGAGGCGTAGCGACCCTTCCCGGCGCCCCGGGGACAAACTTTTCGATTTGCACCACCCCCCCCCCTCGAGATTTCGATTTGCACCCCCCCCCCTCAAACTTTCGATTTGCACCCCCCTCAACCTTTCAATATATTTTTCCAACCCATTTTGGCGCCCCCTAAGGTCGGCGCCCGGGGACATATGTCCGTCCCCCCCCCCCCGCCCCCCTCGCTACGCTACTGTATTAAAGTTTTTTTTTTCTTTCAGTATCGCTTTTTAACTTAAGGTTAGTGTCAGGATTATGGATGGAAGTGGGGTGGCCATCAATGTTCCCTCTAAGCTGCGCGGTTGCGCGGCCGCGCAGTAGTTTTGAACTGCCGCGCTGTCATTTTCTAAAATACGTATATCCTTGTATTAGACTATTCGAACACCGCGCTAATAAAAAAAAATACACTTTGCACACTAGCTTTTTATCCCCTATAGGAAAAGTTGGGGGTCATAATTATTGATAAATGTTAAGCATATTGTAAACAAAGAACGCTGCCCCCCCCCCCCCTACCGAAGAAAGTCTCAACCCCCCCCCCCCCCCCCGAGAAAAAGTCTGGAAGAAACACTGCTCGCATTAGGTTTGAGTTTTGGTTTAGTATATTGGATGTAAAGGTAAAACAACGATTCAGTTTCTTTAGATTCGCCGTGGTACGGATAAGCCTAATGTACCGTAGCTTTCACAGTCTGATATACAGCCTTACAACAGTTAAGTAAAACTAGACCGTGTGTTCTTGCTAGTCGTCCTAATTCGTTACACGGACACATCTCTATACATTTTAATTGACATGTTGGTTAGCCACGGGGCGTTAGTTTAAAACTCAAGAGACCCGGCGGGGGGGGGGGGGGGGGGTGTAAGGGGGGCGGGACATGGGGGATAATTTTTTTTATCTCCAACCTGCATTCCTTAACCTGTCAGGTCATCCTGACCTGATAGCATAGCTAGTTAAGCTGCGTGATTTATTTTACAATGTCTTTAAAAAAATAATTTTCTCGTGGATATGGTGTTGACATGCCTTTAAGATTGAAGGTAAAGTAAAACATTGGAGCATGTATACATTATTTTTAATTAATTTTTTAAGCTACTGACGCTATGTATTTTAGCATTGTATCGGAATGTGTTTTGAATTAATGGGACAAACCATTTGAATTTTAAAATGTAAAAAAGTGAGTCCCTATAATTGTGGAATTGTGGTCGAGTAGTAGGACTTTCGGTTATACATTTCTTAAGTTCAAATCCCCTTGTTTATCTCGAGACAGTATGTCTCCATTGTTGGTCGTCTGATTAAAGGGCGTATGAAGTAGAGAGGTTGTTGGGTGGTGGTGTGAGGGTAGGGGGGTGTCTACAATAGGAACGTGAGAGTGACATGGAATCGTACGACCCGAGGCTTCACAAACACGCTTGTAAAATAAAATGTTTAAAAAAATCTATAAAGTTTGTTTTGCTTTTCATAGACTTGGTTAAGTTGTATTTCTCTACGAGGAACTTCCTTGATTAGTAAAATATATTACTTGTCGCCGTCTATGAGTTTTTTAATACCTTTTTTAAAAAAAAACATTTTTTTTTCAAAAATTTCGATACCATCTACACGTTATACCATTTACACATGTTGTTATATGATTATAGGCCTACATATTCTGTCACACAATCAACTTATTTTGTTACATCATCTGCACATTTTTAATATTACCATCTATATATCATGTTACGCCATCTACACATTTCATTAACCATCTACACATTTTGTTAAATCACATACACATTTTGTTAAATTACCTACACATTTTGTACCTACACATTACCTACACATTAGTTACCATATATATGCCATATACACATTTCATTAACCATCTACACACTTTATTAAACCACCTACACATATAAACTCAAATGACCGCTGTCAACAACACCTGTTTTTTCTGTCGTCTGCAGGTGACCCCCGGAAGTGTGGCCGCGGCAGGGCTAGGGCCTGGTGACCTCATTCTGAAGGTAGGCAATGTCATGGCCACCAACCTGGAGCACAACGACGCCATGGAGCTGGTCAAGCAAGCGGGCAACATCTTGCAGCTGACCATTAAGAAGTGAGTCCCACATGCGCATTGTTGCCTTTAGATATTTGATGGCACTCATGGCCTATCATCATCATATTTTCCCGATCGTACCTAAGGCACATGGAAGTAGATGAAGTAGAGTTCATATGTTTCATTGACCTCCGCATACAGGAGGATAGTGTGGTGAGCACTTTACTCAGCTGCCTTAGTTTCCCTAACGTGAGTCAGGTACCCATTAGAGCTGGGTGGGCTCAGGGACTCGAGACCTTCGGACTAGCAGCTCTACCATTCGACCGTCCTACACACAAACATACATCTACGTGTACACACACACACAGGTACACATATAATATATATGCATATACAAAATCAATGCTGTTATTATGTTGTTTTTTACTTTATTTTTTAACGGCAAATATGAAAAAAGGCCTCCGTGCCTACTATTGTTACCGTTATTGAATAAACTGAATACATTGAAAGTTTAAAACTAGATTTAAATATACGTATCAATATACACTAACATATATGCATGTGTATACATGAAACCACAGTTAAGAGCTACATTTAACCTGCCACATTTCTCTCCCCCAGGGTTGAAAACTCCTCCTCCCCACCCGGGCCTCTATCCCCGACCTACGGCAGCCGCGTCACGGCCCAGCTGAACGACAACGCCGGCTACGGCTCGCCCCTGAAAAGTTTCGGCACCGGAATCCCTCTCAACAACAGCAACTACAGCCCGAACAGCAATTACAGCTCCAACAGCACCGTCCCGGGGTACGCCACCACCCCCCGGAACTACGCCCCGCAACAGCTCGGCACGAGGATTGAAATTCAGCGCGTGAACAACCCACCCCCGCCGCCGCAACCGCAAAGAAGTTTCAGCCACAGCTACGAGGAAGATGGTCCAAGTTTCCCTGATTACACAATCCCTTACAAGCAACAGGAGCCCGTCCACGACTCCCCCGGGGGTCCGGTTAACATCCGAGGCTACGTAGAACCCGCCCCACAAAATGTATCCTACAGCTCAAAGTCTTTACCCAGAGGCGGCGGCGGCGGTTACAGCAACAACGACGGTGGGTTCGGGGGACCCCCAGCGTACGAGCCACGCTACAACAATAACCAAAGCTCTTTCACGCCCATCAACACATCAACGGAGATCAAATTCAACACGGGTGTGTCTTTTCAACCTAGTCAACCCAAGCCAGTATCAACGGTGTACAGCGGTGGACCCAGTTACCCTTACAACAGTCAACAGTTTTCTCCTGTGGAGCAGTCGTACAATCAAGAGCCGGCGTCGTACAACAAACCAAGCTACAGCAACACCGCTCAGCAGTTCAGCCCCACCACAGTGCCGCAGTCGTACACCGCCCCGCGGCCTTTCAGCCCGCCTTCGTACCCTGAGCCTGTGAACGCCACCCGACCCCAGAATATCACCACTGTCGGTTTCGCTAACAAGCCTTCGGCGTACACCCCGGAAACCAACGCCTACAACAACGGATCCACCCCCGGATACGGAAACAACTACGATCAATCCAACGTCCACGGCTCCGGCATCAACACGTACTCCACCCTCCCCCACACCAAACCCTCCTACAACACCAACAACAACAACTCCTACAACATCTACAACAGCGCCCCGCAGCCTTACTCCGCCCCCAAGCCTTACGCCCCCGCCCAAGCCTCCACCGCCAAGCCCTACCAAAGCCCCATGTCCCCGGTGTCTGCCTACCCCACCAACACCGCCCCCTCACACCCGGCCATCCGGCGCGTCAGCTTCGACCAAAACGTCCAAGATGGCGGCGCCTACTCTCCGTCCACCAACTTCAGCCCCCGCCCTTACAAATCCCCACCCCCCGCCACAAACTACACCTCCTACAACCCGCCCGACAACTACGGCGTCTCGGATTTCGGCGGGCGCCCCCGTCCTGCAACCAGCCACCTACGCCCGGCAGGACTCCCGCTCCAACGAAGGCTACTCCGCGACATCCTCCTACGCGCCCCCCGGGGGGCCCATGAGCCCCAGGTCAGAATCAGGGAGCTACGGGTACCCTGATGTCCGAGGCGTAAGTTCCGGATTGGAGAACATGGGCCTAGAGTCCCCCCGGTCGTATCAACCCCAGGTGTCTTCTGCCCCACCCCCACCGCCTCCACCACCTCCCCCATCAGCACCTCCACCTCCTCCCGCCCCACCCCTCAACGATTGGAACCCCACCCCTTATAGACGTCAGAATTATCAGGTGAGCATGCCGCCTTTGTCTATCTAGTTACTCGTTTCTTTTTCTTCGCCCTCTTCCTTTGCCTGCTCTCTTTGTTGAATGCTCTGTCTAGAAGAAAAACAAACCCATCTATTTTAAAATTAGCAGTGTTATTAAATAAATTCCGACGTTTTAAATGATAATGTATGAAAATTTAATGATTCAGCAATTTTGATAGATAACTTGTATTAAATATCGCTTGTTAGATTATTGTAGCTTCTTGCTTTCTCGTATAGAGTTTGTTGATAAATGTCACATCTGTAGGTTTAGTGAAAGGCGGGGGGGGGGGGGGGGGGGGGGGGGGTAGTACGTTGGATATTGTTATGGGCAAAAGTAATTAACTATGAAAAACATTAATCTTTGTTAGAGTAATTGTGAAGGTGGGTAAGGTTGGGAGGTGGTGGGGGATCTTCTTAAAAAAATGTTTATCGCCCTCGCAATCGACTGTGTTGTTTTTATATCTATAGCATCGTTGAAGTAATATAACATTTTTAACCAATGTTACAATTTTCGTCCTACAAAAAGTTTGACGATAATTTTAAAAAATTGTTTTACATAAACAATAAAAACCGCATTTTTTAAAACGTAATCATTGTCCACTCCCCCCCCCCCCCCCCCCAAAAAAAAAAAAAACACTTCTTTTAGTTCTAGTCTCATTACCCCAAACACCATTTCGAGATCCCTATTTATTTTCAACACGTCTCAAGACATAAACAAAAAAACAAAAAAAAAACAACAAACATTAAGCATTGTGCCGGTGTACATGTCTCTGTCTTATAGTCGTGTGCACGTAAACCTCACATTGCATGCAGCCCTCAGCGTGGTGCTTATATATTTGCGCATGCGCAGCTGCAAGATATTTGCCTGACATTGATGTTGTTAGTTGTTTGTTTTGTTATAAATTTATGAAACAATATTTCACCTTCCCACATCAAACTTACGTTGGGGGGGGGGGGAGGGGGTTGGTATGCACTCATCCACCTGTACTTGGACGAACTCCAAATATTTACTCGTATCGATTTCTCTGGTGTTTGTTGTCATTAAATAAAAAATATGACCTGTTGTTGATTTAGAGCAGGGGTCTCCAAACTTTTCAGTCCGAGGGCCGCATTAACTATCAAATTTCAGTTCGGGGCCAGTTTCTTCTTGGCATGTCTTTAATTTTTCTGGTCAAAGTTCCTCAGCCATCGCCAACAAACGTTTTTTTTCCGTGGACAAAAATATCTCCACGGGCCTGATAAGAGGACCTCGCGGGCCGCATACGGCCCGCGGGTCGTACTTTGGACACCCCTGATTTAGAGTATTACAACACATGATTAGTCCTAAGTTTTAGACAACATAAGATTAGTGCTATGTTTAGACTTCATAGAATACATCACATGATCAGTGATAAATATAGACTTCATATTCTATTAGAATACCACACCATAAGATTAGTGCTCAGTTTAGACTTCATGCGTAATGCTTCGTTACAGTTTAACCATTCTATTAGCCACAAATATGGTAAAGCTACGTTAAAATTGATCGTTAAATGGCACGAATGGTACTAGGCGATGGTAAAATAACAGCAATACAGTGAAAATTTAAACTACTAACAATATTAAATGAACTAAATTTTGTAGGAATATCGAAATCCCAGAGGGTCTTCTATCAGTGACGTCAAACTCAAACTGGGAAGGGGGGGGGGAGTCAAAATATTTTTTTTATATTATTTTTTTAAGGGGAGGGAGGGGGTCAGAATGTGTAACATGATGTTTGTAACTGTAATATATCAAACAATTTTTAGCAGTTATTTAACATTTTGAAAGTTTATCTTTTTGTATTTTTTTTACATTATAATAGAAGTTGACATTATATTATCATACAATGACCCAACTCATTGAATATTTGAAGAGATGCCTGGAAGAAACTCTGAATGCGTGGCTTAAAGTAATGGGAGCCTTGAGTATGACGAAAGAAGGGAGGGGTTAAAATGGGTTTTTTTTAATGTGACGTCATTTATGTATGACTTCAGACTTGACCAGTTTTTTTTTTATTTTTTAAATGAATGTTTTTGCATTTCACAAAAAAAGGAGATTAAACTTTTTAACTAATTAAGCATTAATTAATGATAGAATACTAATATAATATCAATGCGATAATTTACTTTTAAAATTTTTTTACCACCGTTAAATCTGTTGCGAAAGTTTAACAACATATGTCTGAAGATTATTGATTCCTTAATAATCGATTTCAAAAATAAAAACACTAAAATATTAAAACTTTTTAATTCACAATTAGTACTTAAATCTATTAGGCCTACCTAGTTTTTTAGCAAAGCGGGCCTACGCGTATAAAATTCACTTTCTACTTCAATTTAAAATAAAAACTACGCCCATTCATATTATTTTTCCTTCCTACATTTGTAGTATTAATACTAAATTACTAACTTCACCTAAAACTGACACCGCCCTGAAATGGGCGTGTGGTATAATTATTTAAGTGCTCTTCGGGGAAAGTGAGCGCATTACAGTCGTTTTGATTTCATTCTTCGTCGGGGCAAGTACATATTGGACTACTGTGTTAGGAAAGCGGATTTTTTAAAGTTTGGCTGAGATTTATGTAATTATATATGTTGAAACCAATCGTATACTACAGTGTGAGCTAATTAGCACGTGCAATTATAAAAATGTGAATTATTTTCGTAGCTTTTTAACGTTGTTAATAAAATTTTCTTACATTTCTTCTATGGGTGTTAATAATCGTGTGTGGCACGCATGTGTATAGGCCTACATACATTTTGTATATACATATATAATGGCCAGTGTAGCTTTCTTTTATGTGTATCATATATCAATACTTTTCTTTGAATAATTTGCAAGCGCTAATTCATTCTGTGTTAAATTATGAGATTTGTTTTACTAAGATATATTTTTAACATATGCCTAGACGTTTGATCATTGATACATATGTATCTCAGCTTGACAAATGTGATGAGAAAATGACTAATTTATTTATTTACTAACGCAACTACGCTTATTCATTAACTTTGCTCAAAGATTAATTACTTTTTCGGCTATTAATATTTATTGAAGAAAATAAGGGTTAAGAATCTCACTTTAGATTATTGTTAGACTGCTAATCCGAAAGTCTCGAGTTCGAATACGTGTTCTATTTAGTAATACGTCCATTCAGCTCTGATGGATACCTGACTCACGTTAGGAAAAGTAAAGGCGGCTGGGAATAGTGTTGGCCACACTGTCCCTTCATATGCAACAGGTGAACTCTACTCCACTTGCTCCATGGACCGACTGGTTCGAAAAGAGTCCTTGACTTTACTATTTAAATTACCCTTCAAAGAAGTAGCCGCACATGCCAGGTACTAATCTACAGCTGAGTTCGTTGATTCAATCGGGCTTAATCCTAATCCACCATTGTTAATGCAAAAACGTGTTATCTCAACAATCCGTAGTAACTGAATGTCTTTTTTTCTATGGGTGTAGAACTTTTCTCAATAACTAGTCACTAGCCAGCCCTATGTAATTTATGACTCGTGTCGCTAGTTAGCCTGGCTGAATAACCCAACGTTTCTAATAGTTAGGATTAACTTAAATATAACCTAACTTTTCCAAATTTTAGGATTATCTTCAATAACCTAGGGGTCATCCATAAATGACGTCACACTCGTAGGGGGGAGGGGGGGGGGTCCGTAATTTTGTGGCGATGTGTGATGAGGGGGAGGGGGGGGGGGGTTCAGATGTTGCGACGTCACATTTTTGCATTATAAAAAAGCAATGTTAGAAAACGAATTTTAGACGTTATTTCGCGTTTTAGATAGCTGTTTTAATAAATTGTAATAGTTTAGACAAGATTTTGGAAAAATATCGATGTTTAAAAAAAAATCAACTGCAATTTTGAGTGGGGTTGTAGGTTGGGGTGTGACGTCATTTTAGGGGGGGGGTCTGGCTTTTTGTGACGACGTGTGACGGAGGGGAGGGGGGGAGGTAAAAATCGTCAAAAAAAGCGTGACGTCATTTATGGATGACCCCCTAACGTTTCTAATGGTTAAGATTAACTTAAATATAACCTAACATTTCCAATGGTTAGATTGATATTTCAATAACTTAACGTTTCCAATAGGTTTCAATAACCTAACTTTTCAAAATTTTATGATTATCTTCAATAACCTAACGTTTTGTTGGTTAAGATTAACTTTAATAACTTACAGCGTTTCCTATGGTTAGGATTAACATCAATGGTTAGGATTAACTTTAATAACATAATATTATACATGTGGTTAGGATTAACTTTAACAGCCTAACGCTATACCTATAGTTAGGATTAACTTCAATGGTTAGGATTAACATTTCAATAACCTTACGCTATGCCTATGGTAAGGATTAACTTCAATAGCCTAACGCTATACCTATGGCTAGGATTAACTTTAACAGCCTAACGCTATACCTATGGTTAGGATTAACATTTCAATATCCCGTTTGTTTTGCAGTCGAGCCAGGATGAACCAGAGGAGCAGAAGATCCCAGACCAACTCTTGAACACGATGCTGCAGTCTGCTAAAGGCGGAGGGCCCAAACCTTTCTCGTACGGCATTGATCTCTCGGAGCTCAAGAAGTGAGTACCGACCGCAAGCAGTGACATTCTGGGGGGGGGGGGGGGTTAGAACTATTCCAAGGGTTTTTGTACAAGTATAGCCATTACCAAATGTCAATGGCGTCATGAAGTCGAGTCTCACTGAGGGCGTCACCCCGTGCAGTAACTGAGGGTGTCACCCCGTGAAGGAACCAGAGTTTCTTGGGGGCTCTGCCACCCACCCCCCACCCGAAAAAAGTCTACCCCCCCCCCCCCTCACGAAATGGAATTTATATAGAAAATATATGATTTTAACAGTGTCCGCCGCCCCCCACCCCAATTTTTTTAGTCCGCCCCTCCCCGAAAATTTCAAGTGCTCCCCCCCCCCCCACGAAAAAAAGTCTGGAAGTAACTGAGGGTGTCACCCTACTCCTCCAACAATGTTCACATTTTCGATTTGGTGTCAACACTCACATTTACCGGTACCTTTTTATTATCTTAACGGAATTAAAACATTGTTTTGAAAGTACATTGAGCGATTTTTTCAATTTGGTGTCACCCGGTGCGGACCACACTTTTGGCCCGTCTTGTGACGCCACTGCCAAACGTACATACTCAAAAGCCAATAACTTGAGTACCTTTAAAAGTCATGTGGGTGAAATTTCACATTTAATTATTACATTTTAAGCGCATGTTTCTTTCAAATTTTAAACGAATTCCGACATCCGTAAGTGGTACTTTAGGCTACACTGTTTCCATGGGAACACCATAACTTGACTTATATGTTTTTATTTAGGTAAACGAAATTTTATATATAAGTATAAGATCTTCTACTTCGATTATGTTCGATTTTTGAATGACCTCCAATATCCGGAATGTATTATAAGATGATAGACCTACAAACGAAGCTTTATGTATTTTATAATGAGTTTCCTTCTGCCTCCCCCCCCCCCCCTAGCCCACTCCCCAAAACAAAGAAATGCCTTTAAAAAACTCATAAAACACACAAGTCTTCGTCTGGATCATCTTATAATTGATTGTAATAAAGTATATTATTATAGATGTATACTTATAACACCATGCAAAAGTGGAGACACGAGATAATAATATATTGCTGTATAATTGAGGGAGGGGCATTCAAGTTTGTTTATAATTATTTAAAAAAAAAAACTTTTTGTTTAACTTTCCAAAGGAAAATGGGACCTCCAACAGCGCCAAAGCCAAGAAAAGGACAGCCAAATTATAATTCTGATGACGGACAGGAAGTGGTGAGACCAGGGTGAGTTGAATAAAACGACATGGTGACAAACTGCTCAGATTTCGTTGTAGACACGAGATAAACATAGGCGAAACATGGGGTAGATACTGGCTAGACAAAGGTGAGACATTGACTTGATAATGATATAGGCTAGATCAGTGGCGTAGCGAGGTCGGGTGTCACCCGGTGCGGCACTTAATGGTGTCACCCCCCAGAGGCGTAGCGACCCTTCCCGGGGACAAACTTTCAAATTTTCGATTTGCACCACCACCCCCCCTCAAACTTTTGATTTGCACCCCCCCCCTCAAGTTTTTCTCTGTATATTTTGCTCTTTTTTGCCTTGGTGTCAACCCCCTAAATGGTGTCACCCGGTGCGGTCCGCACCCCCCGCCCCCCTCGTTACGCCCCTGGGCTAGACAAAGGTGAGACATTGACTTGATAATGATATATGCTAGACAGAGGTGAGACATTGACTTGATAATGATATAGGCTAGACAAACAAGAAACGGGATTGATATCTGCTATAGGCTAGACAAAGGCGAGGGGTGGCGGGGGTACATATGTCCCAGGGCGCCGACCTTAGGGGGCGCCAAAATCGGTTGGAAAAACAAATTAAAATCTCATTTTAGCTGCAGTTTTGCATTATAAATATAAAAAAAAATATATGTAGGAGGGGGTGCAAATTGAAAGTTTGTTCCCCGGCGCCGGAAAGGTCAATACACCTATGAGGCAAGGCGTAGGCTAGAAAAGAGGCCTACTCATTCATATGATTTTCAGAGTTTACAGTGAAATGGCTTTATTATGCTTATAGTATAGGTCTACTCAGACAATATCCGTATGTAGGCCTATTCAAAAAATTTTGGTATAGGTTTTATTAATACAGTCTCTACCTATTTTAATTTTTACTAATTGTTTTTGGTAATTAGAAAAAAATAATTAAGTGCTAATTATAGATATAAATACCCTATAAATAATAAATAAATACCTCAATTCTACTTCCATCTCCAGCCCACCCAAAAAGCCAGCAGGACAGGTCCAGTCTGATTATTTCTTAAGTAGAAATGATGACGATACACCCGGCAGGTAACTTGTTTACTTCTACCTTTACCCTACCTTAGTTAGTGTGGGACAGCATGGCCTAGCAGTAGAGCACTAGACTGCTAACCCAAGAGTCTGAGTTCAAATCCGGGTTCAAGTAATTAGGACCAGGGAATCCACATAAGGGAAAGTAAAGGCGGCTGGGCATACTGCTGACCACCAACATTCCCTCTAAGGAAAAAAGCATGTGCAATGTGCAGCTTAGAGGGAACATTGCTGACCACACTATCTTTTCATATGCCGAGGTCACTCTACTTCAGGTTTTAAAAGGGAATTATACTTAGTTACTACTGTGGTCAGTAACATATTTTTTTGTTAATATCTGTAGGCCTATATCTGATCCATTAATTTTTTTGTTTATTTGAGTATTTGAATTTTTTTTTTTAGTTTTGAAAGCTTTGAGTAAAATTAAATTTAAATTTATTGGCAACATTAAATTGAGGTGGCAGAAATTAACAAATGACAGAAACAAATGTATCATTAAGTATATTATTAAAATATTGCTGTTTGTTCCATAAATGTTTTTTTTTTAATTTTGGAAACCAAAACGATGTTGGCTTGGCATGAGTGTTCATGCCACAATATTTCCTGTGGTATTGTATTTTTTTACATTAATTTTTAAAATTTTTATTTTACTTGTTCAATAAAAACAACTTTTTTCCGCCAGCAGAGTACCCAGAAAACCCGCAGGTTACGTGCAGGGAGATTACTTCCTGAACCGTGACGAGGGCCCCAGATCTGAGGTCGACGAGTCATCCATCCGTGTCAATATGGGAACAGATCCTAAGAAACAGTCCAAGTCTTTTAAAGTCTTGCAGTGGATGACAGAGACAGAACAAGACGACCCTGAAGGTTTGTTTTACATAGAACAAATTTATTAGGAAAATGGTCTATATATAATTGCTAATCGTGACCACTTTCCTAGAAAACAATTATTCAGAATGATATTTAATGTTCAATTAAAGCGATTTGAAATCACACATCTAGTTACATAGATCTCATGTAGTAATTTGAGATTATGAAAATGATAGTTTGGGTGAAGTTGTATGTTAAATGATTTTTGTTATATGACCTAATTCAAGATATTAAAAATTATATTTTAGTAATTAGGCAATGTTGAAAATTTCATTTAAAAATAATTTGTTTCTTAATATTATACTCCTTTTTATTACAATTTTTTTTTAAACAAAAGAAAACAGTAATATAAATTCCATTACTAGAATAAGCAAAATTATAACCTACACAATTGCGAAAAAAAAAATATAGTAGGCCTACATATAATATATGCAATATATAGCAAATTTCATTTAGTTGTTAGAATCGTTTAAATAGGGGGTCTGTTCAATAGTGTAGCCTACATATTTTTTTTACAAGCAACTCATATACAAATCACTTTAACCATAAGGCAGTAGTATTATTTAAAACAATTTGTTGAGATGATTGTTTTTGTAATGGCATAATTGTGAAACCTCCATAATGTCATTTTATTGTAACAAAAAACAAAAGAGCAGCTTACAATGTAAATCCCACTACGTAGTTAGTCAATGTTGAACTTGATGTTGAAAACAAAAGATATCCTTTCAGGCAAGCAGGCTGCAGTTGCTGCCAGTAAAGGTGAAGTATGGCGTGAATAGCAGCATAGAAATATAGTAGAAAGTCTTGCGTGTGAACACACTTAACTTTAAAGCAACTGAAAGTTTTTTACTATGTTGTTTGGTGAAGTTTTGTGAAAGCTTTGATTTTTAGAAATGCCTTGCGTTGTTTTTTTTTTTTTGCCAAGTATCTAGATATGTGATACTGGTATTTGCATTTTATAGAAAGTTAATTAAAATTCTTTATTTAGAAGTCCAATTAAAATAGTTGGATGCAGCCTAATTAGCTGATTTATTAAATGAGTAAACAAGCTGTTTATTTTTTTTAAGGTTTCAGTACAGGGGGAAATTATATGACTATCTTGATTAGTTGAAGTTCAGTCACATGAAATGGTTTTAGTTCCAATTGACTTGTGATTGGCTGTACATCAGTCATACATGAGTTTATGTTAGTTCATGAACTTTGTGATTGGCCATTGGACTATACGTCAGTCACACTTAGTCATGTTGGTACATATTGACATTTGTGTTTGGCTATACTTCAGTCATACTTTAAGTCATCCCGGTACTTATTGACATTTGTTTTTGGCTATACTTCAGTCGTATGTTCAGTCATGTTGGTACATATTGAAATTTGTGTTTGGCTATACTTCAGTCATACTTTAAGTCATGCTGGTACATATTGACATTTGTTTTCGGCTATACTTCAGTCATAGGTTAAGTCATGTTGGTACATATTGACATTTGTGTTTGGCTATACTTAAGTCATATGTTAAGTCATTTTGGTATATATTGACATTTGTGTTTTGCTATACTTCAGTCATACTTTAAGTCATGCTGGTACATATTGACATTTGTTTTCGGCTATACTTCAGTCATAGGTTAAGTCATGTTGGTACATATTGACATTTGTGTTTGGCTATACTTAAGTCATATGTTAAGTCATTTTGGTATATATTGACATTTGTGTATTGCTATACTTCAGTCGTATGTTCAGTCATGTTGGTACATATTGAAATTTGTGATTTGCTATACTTCAGTCATACTTTAAGTCATGCTGGCTATACTTCAGTCAACTGATGATAGTCTGTGTCAGCTGGTGCTACCATTCAGAGCTTATTGTTATTATCTTTCACAAAGTTGTGTGCTCTACCCTTTTGTCTATTTGTAAACAAGAATACAAAAACAATACAAGTTTTTTGCAGGGAAGGTCAGTCAGTCTTTAAAAAGGAACTCCATTGGATAATATGTATTACCTTAAAAAGTTATTTAATCAGCAATAATTTATTATTGAGTTCATATTTTTTCTTTACACTAATTGGTGATTTGGACATGTTTTATATTTACTTACATATAAAAGTCGTGTTTCAACATTTTTTTCATGTGATTTTTTACTATAACTATAAGACTAAAGTTTAAATTAAAAGGAGAGCAATCAAACCAGTATTTTTCTGCAGTTTCAACATGTGCATATCCTATATAGCCAGGAATTCAAGTTGTCTAGAGTTCAAGGTTATTATTCCTAGTGCCTGTTTGTCAGTTTTCTGAATTTATTTTTGGCAAATTTTAAAACTTGGCCAGGGATCTTGACTGGGGTTGAGTTTAACTGCCAAATAAAATGGAGAAATTTTAATGTCTGTGTGGAAGGGGAAAAAAATACTGGAGAAATGCCAGATTTTTGTTACAGAATTTTTAACAATCTTTTAAAAAGTTTGATTAAGTTATCTTATTCCCTTTATATTTCTTTATCATCAAGTCCTGATATTCATATCAGTCTGACCTATTATTCTAATTAGGTCATGTTTACATTGCCTCTTATTGTGTTAATTAATGATCCGATTTGGCAAAGAGAAATTGCTGACCTACATATGATATGTTTGGTATTCATGTTAAAAATGTGAGACAGTTGTTGAGGACAAATTATTTATAAGCAGCTTAAAGTACATCTACTTGGCCTTTTAGGTCATGCGTACTGGGTATTGTCAACATCCATAATATTTATGCTAAAAGGTTCAATGTTTTAAAAAACATATTTTTAGTCATATAATTCTTTGTTTTTAAGATAATATATATTATTAAATCAATTTACTGAGTTCAGAATTAGTTCTAAGAACATTTTCTTTCAGATCAGAAAGTGGTTGTCAAAATGTAATTATTTTGCGATAATTTCTGAAGTACACTTTAACAGAGTCTGGTGTATTATTTTCTTTAGTCAGCTTAACTAATACTAGTGGTTAGAATTGGCTGGATTTGAAAGTTATTCTCCTGTTTTTGAAAACCACGCTAGTTTATTTTGTTTCTTTAAAAGTTTCATAAAATTTAATATACCTGGTTATATATCTTTTCAAATGTTTGCCATGAGTATATTTTAAAAGAGAATTCTAATATTTATTTTTTTTTTACAAAAGGATGAACCAAAAAAAAATTGGTTTAACATTTTTTTTAATGAAATATATTACCCTGAACAATGATGTTTAAGTTATGTGGTATGAAAATGTGATTGACCAATCAAATTTGATCCTGTCAGAGGTTGTACCAAAAACGAAAAGACCCAAAGACCCAGAAAGAAGGCACAACGCAGATGACGATGAAATGCGGTTTACAGGGCTCCACACCAAGGCAGACATACCATCCAAGGCTTTTGGTTTACTGAAGAAAATATCCTCAGAGGATAATTCACCTCCCACACAGAACGGCAAGGACACTTTAGATGTTGGTGCGTCTTTTGATAGAGTTTAACAACATGGCATCTATGATGCACTAATCACACTTAACACTCTCAAACTGCAATTTCAATGTATCAGTTTTTTCTCTACAAACTATAGCATATGTTGCTAAAATATAGGTATAAAGTTAGTAGTAAATAAATAAAAAAATTTCAATACCGGAATAATTCAGATTTTTCTCTACAAACTATAGCATATTTTGCTAAAATATAAGGATAAAGTTAGAAGTAAATAAATAATTATTTTTTTTCAATAAGTAAATTAATTTTATAATATGAATAATTCCAACAGCAAAGTTTGAAAAGTATATATACTCATTTTGGCAAAAAATATATGTTTAGCTTTGTCAAGCATCTTTTCAATTTCGGATAATAACTTTAAATGAACATTTTAGGCTTGTATTTAAATGAAATAAAAATCTATGAATAAAAATTAGGAGTTATGCATGCTGCTTAAAACAAATAGTCAAAATTAAAAAATTGCATTACCAGTTATGATAGTAACCTTAGATTAATAATTAGGCTAATTTTTTTTTAAATATACAAGTCAAGCTTACATAGTTTAAAAATATATTTAGTCTGCATGTTGGAAATATATACTCTTTGCATATTATAATGTGTGTCACGAGAATAGGAATGAATTTGTTTCTTGCACATATTAGCTTTTTGTTGTTTTGTTTTTAATGTAAGTTTAAATTGTTTTTAAGTGGCATTTTATCTTATTTATTCTTGTGTTTTTGATTGGTCTAGTTTTATTAACCCTTTAACACTGACATGTTCTAAAAACCAACCCAATGCACAGGAGATACAGAAAATGGCGTAGGAAATTACGATGAGACCTCAATCCGATACAAGGGCAAGAACATTCCCTCCCCTTCATTTAGAGTCCTACAAACATGGGCAGAGCATGAGCCTGATGTCAGTTGTAAGTCTGTGATCTTTCTTTCAAAGTTTGCTCCCTTGGTCAAGGCCTAAGTGGAAGTTGTTTTTTTTAAAAACAAACATGGTTTGGAAAAAAATGTTGTAACTGCAGCAATTTGCACAACTATTAGCGTTTAAAAAGTATATTAATATAAGTATGTTTATCATTACATGGATGAGTTCTGAAATTATTTGAAGTATATTTAGTCTATCATTGTATACAAATTGTGTTACACATTTAAAAAATAAATTTCATCAAATTCCGGGCAATTTTTTCTTTACAAATATGATTCAATTAGCCAGTTGATTTTTCTGAATAGAATATTATAATTTGTACATTAAAAACTTATTTAATTCCTGTATCTGTATTCCGACATGCACATTTCAAGAACAATAATTTGCTTGGTGCTATAACCTAAATGTATTAAGTCAGTATAGGCATGACAATATAACCTTCATTGTATTAGAAATTTCGGAATCTCTGCACCTACTTTATATTTGCAGAATCACACTCTTTTATAACGTTTCGTAACAAAAAAAAATTTACTTTGAAATTAATTTTTTTTTTGTTATGAAACTTTATATTTTTGTTAAAAAACTTAAAAATATAACCGAAACTCAATAACTTCTCTGCTTTGTTAATTACACTGTGTAATTACATAAATGAAGAACTAATAATTAAGAACAAAGAAGAAGAAGAAGAGATAAATGAAGTGAGAAAAACAAAATCTCATGAATATTTTTCTCGCCAGCAGCAGTGAAGTCGTCAGGGCCCAGACATGATGAAGACGAGGAAGACGGCCTGCCAGAGTCCCTCAACTCTGAGGACATGGTTGATAAGCGCTACAAGGGAGGCAACATCCCCTCAAAGGTGTTTAAGCACCTGCAGAAGACGGTGGGGGATGATACCCCAGAGGTACCGGTGGCGAGCACAGGTATGTAGGTCAAGGTCATGAGGTTCTTGATTATTTTTTTCTGTTCGTGCCCAAGACACTTGGGGCAGATGAAGTAGTGTACCATCCAACCACACCGTTTCCATCATTTTAGGTTTGGTTTCATATAGGGTCATTTTCTAGGTCTTTAAATTATTTACTGCAAAACACATGGTATTTGATATTTACTTTCTGCAAGGTCATCTAAGTAACCGCATCGGTCTTCAATAAATCAAGGTAGAAGTTTAAATAAAACGTTGGGATTAGGGTTAATTCATTTGTAGCCTATACACTTTCTTTGAGAAATAATGCCTTATTTAGGAAATTTCACTAATAGAATTACAAACCTGAGGAGAATTTTGTTTTGTAAGTCTTGACTAGGTAATTACACTTGAGATATTTAGCCCATACAAATGTACGTACCCTACTACATATGCTACATTTAACTCTTTTCTATGTGTTTCATAATGTCATTGTCTTTTTATTATATTTTTCTTCTTAGTTGTATTTTATTTACCTTACACAGGATACCTTTTTTTTAAATGTTCTTTTTTGTTTTGAGTTTTTGTTTTATTTTTTGGACTGTTGATTAATAATTTCATTACTCCCCAGGTGCCCCCCAGAACAACACAGCACCTGTCTCTGACTTTTAAAACACCTGTTTTAAAACAGCTAACCCCCCACAAAGGTTAACCTCCTGAAAGGAATCAACCACTGGCTAATTTATTATTTGTTCCACTCGGTGTCTTGAAAAACAATATCCAAACAAGTAGAGTTATGTCCCCTGGACTGTCGATAGAAAAATCAACTAGAGTGTATCATATGGTATTTATTTATACATTTTAATAATTTTTGCTATATGGACAACATTGATGGATTTTTTGACTTATAAAACAAATGACCTCTGTGCTAAACAGCAAAGCCTACTGCTGAAGTTGTAGAAATGAATGTAATTTAAAACATTCATGGATTAACTTTCATTTAGAAATGTTTGTAATTTCAAATATTCATGGATTAGCTTTCGTTAAGAAATTTATGTAATTTCAACTATTCAAGGATTAACTTTTGTTACCAAATTTATAAAATATATTCTATTGATGTTATTTACATCTAGATGTGTGTATTTTTTTTTTAAAATTTACTCTGTTTAAAGGCTAATGATTAAAAGTTATTGAATTTATATTTTAAAAAAAAATATTCAAACCTTATGAGTATGTTTTAATAATAATGGAATTTCTAATAATTAAAGTTTGCATAATTAAAAAAAAGTCCATTATTAACTGAAATGAGTTGAATGTGAAAGAATGTAGTAGGCAATAGCAACATTGTATGCATAAACGTGTACTTTCGTGCAATACTGTGTTTCCAACGGATCAGTGTAAGTCTAATGATTGCCATAAAATGTTAAAAATTTCGCATCTATGTACATATGTGTATTCATAAAAAAAAATATTTAATAACCCAAATCCACAATGTGTGCTGTAAATAGCCTATTATTTCACATAGCGAAAATTTAAAGCAACGTTTTTTTTGTTTTTTTTGCTCTAACTCATATTTCTCTTCCAACAACCGTATGCTGGCGCAAGTGGAATTATTAATTATCTACAACTGATTTGTACTAAAAAAATTTGTAAAGAACATGTTGTTTTTCTATCAATTTAAAACACCCATCTTTAAACCCACCTCACCTCTCCCCCACATCATGCGACTGATTCTTGCCATGTTTACCATTTTTGTTTTACCATAGAATTTTAATATCAGCAGTCTAACACTGAAATTTTAGTTGTTTTAACGTACATTTTATCATATAAGATCTAATTTTTGACGATTGACATATATATATACATATACATACATACATACATATAAATATATATATATATATATATATATATATATATATATATATATATATATATATATATATATATATATATATATATATATATATATATATATATATATATATATATATATATTATTATACACACACACAAAAACACATATCTTTACTCATATCTCTACATACATCTATCTCTACTGTAGATCAATTTATATGTAAAAGTCACAAGTATGCCATGTTTCTGTTTCATAACATATGTTGAAAATGAAATGTAAAGCAATTATATTTTTTTTTTTTCAACGAAACAGTGGTTTGAATCTTTTCTTTTTAACAAATAATCTCAACTGTAAAAAGTTACTGTGATCAATTTACTTTTAACCATGTTATTGTTATTTTATGGCCTTAATTTTTTGTGTCAGCTGAGAATAGTTAATTTGTCATAGTGAGCTTGAAAGCAGCTGTCTTCGACAGAAGTTGATGTAAAGTACTTTACTAAGCTGAAATCTGATGTATGGTGTATGACAAATGGTCATACCATTAAATGGTGCTAACGTGTGGCAAATATACATGTAAAATATTATCTATGTGTAAATTTATATAAAGTACAGATATTTAATATGAGTGGACAAAAAAAAAATGTTTAAATCACTATTAGTATACAGTGTCATCCAGTAGAGCATTTTTTGTGTGTTCATTAACTTTCGGTTTTTAGAAAAACTTTTTCTTTTGGTTAGATTTAATATAATAACTCTAGGGTTTTGTTTTTTACAACCAAGTATTGTTTTTTTATTTACCTACCATGTTTTAGTCTGTTTCTGCTTTGAGTTATTATTTTGGTAATAAACTATAGTAATATGCTACTCTTTGTTTCATTATTTGTACTTTCTATCTGTATAGCTTACTTGTAGTATGAGTAAGTTTATTTTAGAATGATGATCATTCAAATTGAAAGCCAAAAAAAAAAAGCTAGATCTAGGTTCTATTCACTTTGCAGGTGATTTTATTAAAAATTTTAATAATTAAAATACCACAACCTGGTTCTTGATAAATTAAATTAAGTTTTTAAAAAAAAAGCTTTTATCATGGTTGAATTAGATCTAGTAGGCTTAAACAAACCCAATTGAAAAAAATAATTCACCAATATTTGTTATAAATGATTAGAAAAGAGATGTAGACTCAAACTAAATTCAAGCTGTCTTAATTGAGGATATTTTTCTCCTAACGCTTTTATTACTAAAAATTAGATTAGACTATTTTAAATATGCATTTCAAAATAGAGGCTTATTTTGCAGTAGCGTCAAACAGGCGGGGACAGGAGTTACGGACCCGCATAGGGTTACACCATTTTGGGTTTGACATCCTTTTTTTAAAAAATTCTATAGGCTATAAAGACAAAACAATGCTTTATCCAATAAACGTAATGAAGTAGTAGTGGGGAGAGATAACACTAAGCCAAAAATGTTACATTTTTGGAGGGGTGGGGTGACACCCCCCCCCCCACCCTGACATAGCAACGCCACTGCTATTTTGTTATCTATAACTCAGTACTGGTTGTTTTGATTTGATTCACGTCAATTCAGCCACCAACTTAATTTTGTAATTCTCGCACATGTACTTCTCTCATGGAGAACACAACACTCACTTATTTAGATGTAAAACAACCTCGTTCTGGTTCTATCTTTATTTTTATTGTTTTTTTTTTTTTTTTGGTCTCTGCTGTTGAGACATTTATCAGTGGCAAAAAGCCGTGTCTAAGGCCTAAAACAATTTGAGTCTGTGTACATTGTACTGTCGTCACCGCAGTAGACTAAAAATAGACAGCTTTGGCCTTGTCAACGTGTTTGACCTTCACCTTACCTCACGTGGGTTGTTGACCCTTGCAGCGTCGCGTAAGTGCATCATTAATCACGTTCGCTAATTACGTAAGCTGGTAGAGGGAGTGAAGATGATATAATAAATCAATTTATTCTACCCCCCCCCCCCCATCCTTTCTTAGGGCAGTCTTCAGAACAAAAATACATGTCGGAGCATGGGACTACTTCATTGGCGTAGCTAAGGGAGGGGAGGTGGAGCGGCCGCCTTGGGCGCCGATCCTACGGGGGCGCCAAAAGTGGTAGAATAAAATGTAAAAAAAGCTCATTATATATTGAATTAATGAACTAAAGTTCATAGATGCTAAAACAAAAAGTCCAAAGTTTGAACTCACCAGCAGATGAGGCTCGACAGCTGGGGACAGCAACTCTTCTAGGAGATAAAACCCCAAAATCAAACAATTACTATTACTGCCTTGTAGCAAACGCAGTCTGAAATCGGAGTCAAATACCCATATGGCGCATTACAAGTCGGAGGCGTAGCGACCTTTCCCGGCGCCCGGGGTCAAACTTTCGATTCGCACCCCCCCCCCCTCAAACTTTCGATTTGCACCCCCTCCTTAAACATTTGATTTGCACCCTCCCCCCCCCCCCCCTCAAAATTTCGATTACTTTTTCTAACCCATTTTGGCGCCCCCTAAAGTCGGCGCCCGGGGACATATGTCCCCCCCCCCATCGCTACGCCTCTGTTACAAGTCGACACTTTACGTAATACTTACTTATACGTGTTGGAGGAAATACCATCCAACATTAGAATTAAGAACGAATTCTCATCGGCACGAGTGCTTTAATTAATAAAATACCAGAGCAGAACGTCTGACTTGTGTTGTATAGTGACGTAATATTCTCGTATTCTGGCATCGTGATCGTAGACAGTAGCCTCCACTTGTGCTGGTGTTATAGGTAAGGTCAGCACCACACCCAAGGTGAATCACCTCCAGTGTAGTCTACTTATTTTGGTCAAACTGTACCAAAGTCCCCGGTCCCCCCCCCCCCCCCCCCACACCGAAAAAATTCTACCGCCCCCCCCCCCCCCGAACAAAATGAAATTTATATAATTTATATAGAAAATATATACTTTTAACAGTGTCCGCCCCCCCCCCCCCCGAAGAAAGTCTACCACCCCCCCCCCCCCCCCCCAAAATTTCAAGTGCCCCCCCCCCCCCTACCAGGAGAAAAAAGTCTGGAAGAAACACTAGAGTATGCATGAATGAAACTACAGTCACGGGGTAATCAATTTAAAATACCAGCCAGTCATCTAGGAAATCAAGTTATATCATAAGTCATCTAGAAAAATCAAGTTAATTCATACCAGTAACGTTGAAAAATTATACCAATTATCTAGAAAGTCAAGTAGGCCTAAATCTTACGAATTATTTTTAAGAAATCAAGTTAAAGCAAACGTACTTTCTAGGAAATCAAGTTATAAAATCATACTAATACTCGTAGAAGTAAAGTTAAATCATAGCAGTAATCTAGGAAATCAAGTTACTTTATACCACTAAGTTTTATCTAAAAATCAAGTTATAAAATAATTTCATTGCTTTATTAAATCAAGTTAAATCATACAAAATCTGTATTGATTCAACTTATTATTCTAATGCTCTAAAATCTAGAAAATCAAGATATAAAATAAGTTCAATGCTTTACGCAACAAAGTTAAATCAATGAACATCCAAGTTCAAAGTAGCATTAACTGTTTTGTTTATTTTTTTTTCAAAGAGAGCGGTTTTAAATTTTATAAGTATTATAGGTTTCATCAAAGACGACTGGTCTCTTAAGAAAATACGTTAACAAAATAACAAGGAACATGGCCTAAAAATGTGAGGGGTGGGGGAGGATAAATCCTACATAACCCTCTGCGCATGTGTGCGGACTCGCATTATTCCCATATCCTACACATTCCAAATATTAGCGTGGACCAGAGGCGTAGCGACCCTTCCCGGCGCCCGGGAACAAACTTTCGATTTGCACCCCCTCAAACTTTCGATTTGTACCCCCCCCCCCCTCGAACTTTTGATTTACACACCCCCTCAAACTTTCAATTTGTTTTTCCAACCCATTTTGGCGCCCCTCTCCCTAAGGTCGGCGCCCGGGGACATATGTCCCCCCCTCCCTCGCTACGCCTCTGGCGTGGACAAGGGCCGAGTTGAAGGTCAAATAGCAGCATCTTAAATATAAAAAGTCGCAAGTTTTAAAAGGGATCCAATAGAAACATTGAGGGAAAAGATAACAAGAAAGCGAGATTTGGTGTAGTACGTCACGTTGTTTATCTTATCATTCCTAAATAAGGGCATTGACTCGGGGCAAATCGTGACGCGTTTCACAAAGGACAGACAATTCGTTGTAAATAAACCGGGAGTGATCTCCCCTAAACTTTCTCGAATATTCCTATATAAACAACAGGGGATG